TGATAGGAAATACTTGGGCTCGCAAGTAAGCCTAACCGAAATCAATACCAAAACAAGAGAAAACTGCTGTTTTCAGCAGAAAAACAGCAAATCGCAGCAGTTTTAGTGGAGAAAACTCAAGGAAAATGGAGAAAAACAATATATTTCACTAGTAGATTCAAGAACACAAACAAAGATACAATTTCCTTCAATCCGAGAGGAAGGAATGACTCTCCAAATCTCTAGCCGTAGCCTAGAGCCCAAGAACACAAACCCTAGATCTCCCAACCAAATTCAAATGCAAGATAATCCCCCCTTTTCCTCCTAACCTCCTAATTAACCATAAAGGAGTTTTACAAAATGTCTAAACAGCCCCTCGCATTCAAAATTTCCCTCCCAAAATTCTTCCCTGGCCCCTGTCGACTTTGCTCCCTCCGCTCGGTTCCGCTTGCTGGCTGCGGTTCCGTCGCGAGAAGACCCGGACCGGTCCGGGTTGGACCGGTCCAGCCGGCCCCTCCTGGGCCGGCGTAACAAGAGTTTGATCACACAATATATATTTGTAGATAAAGATGTACATCTTAATAGTAATAAAAAACAATAAAAAGAATAATTGCCTTATGAGAATATAGTGGAATTTGAAATGTGAGAGATTATTCATCTTTCAAGATAGAGATGCAATTAAACTCTTTAGTTGAGCCTAATGAGATCCAAGATAAGATGGATAGTTCCATTACAAAACTGCCATACAAGTTTAAGAAAAATCTAGAAATAGATCGTACACCAATTAGAAAATATGGTGAAATTATGTTCAAAATGTTGTTAAGAAAAATAAATGTGCTTTTAAAAATGAAAAAAAAAACTGAATACAACTACAACATAGAATTTTTTAAAAAATGATAAATTGAATACCGTTAAAATATATAATAATTATTAGAAACCTATAAATCATAAAAAGAGTTTAGAAAAATAAATCATAAAAAGAGTACATTATTTCATGACAAATATAATAGACTTTATGCTAAAGGTAAAGGTGAAACAAAGATAAACATGAATAGCTAATGCAAAAGATAATGGATCTGGAGATTCTGATCAACTTAAATGTATTAGAAGCGAAAATAACTGGATCTTAGTAAAAGAAAGAAGACATCAATGAATGATGAAAATACAATTTTGAGATATTATTTTCAATAAAATTTTAAATATTAAAATGATGCTAAATGATTACCGAGCAAGTAATTTGATATCATTATTTAAGAAAAAAAGATATAGTTAATAACAATAGATGAATCAAACTTAAGAGTCATACAATGGAACATAGACTTGGAAAAATTATGATCTTTCAAAGAATTGTTTTGGTTTCATACAAGATCTTCTATATAAACAATTTTTGTGTTAAAAATAATTAATAGAAATTTATATGGAGCACAAAGAATCTGCATTTTTTTATTGAACAAGAATTGATTGGGGTGCATCAAAGAAGAAAGGTTTTTGCAAAAGTTAGATAATGATCAAAGAAATAATTGTAAAGTGATAAAAGAAATTTCAATTATTACTGAGATACCATCAAGAATCAACATTGATTCCATATATTCCTGCATTAGTTATGGGTTATAATACTGTTATAGAGATGCTTACGAAGGATAATCAAAATAAGGTACCTTGGTTAAATATTTTGTCATGATAGCTCTAACGAAAGAGACAGTTGCAAATATATATATATATATCTAAAATAAAAAAAACAATTTTAATACAAAGGAAATAAAATGCTTAAGAGTATAAAGGGAGGATAAGGATTAGAACATATAGATTAAAATTGCTTAGAGTATAAAGGGAGGCCAAGGAATATTATAGGATAAGAGAATATCATGAAGATTAAAAATGTAAACTTTATAAAACTATAATAAGGTCAATTTTGTTTGGATTCGAGTACTGGGTAATAAAAACCATTGGTAGTTAAGATGAGTGTGACATAAACGAGAACATTAAGATCGATTTGTAACAGAACTAGGAACAATAAATCATAAATGATTATGTGAGAGGAAATGTTGAAGTGGTGTCTTCTATAGATATGGAAATTGAAAATAAAATTAGGTGATTTAAACATATATAACAAAGGGTAAATAATACAACCATCATATGGGTGAATTAATGTGTCAAAGGACTGTGAAGAACAAAGAATAAATGAATGCAATGTGGATAGAAGTTGTTCAAATTGACTTAAAAAAAATAGGTTTAATATTTTAGGTAACATTCAACAAGAATGAATGAAAAATTATTATTCATAAAACAGACCGAAAGAGTTGAGACAATGGAAAAGATGATGATGATGATAATGCTGTATAATAATTGCAATTCAATTGACGATAAGTCTCACTTAGAAATTTCAACATGAATGTTAATCTTTTAGGCCAAGTCCTCATGCTGCAACAGACCAAGTTTTATACACAGATTATTCTATGGTTCATTTATGGTAACCTGACAATGTTAACTGTAAATCATTTCATCCATTCCTTGAATATTTTTTAATATAAAAAAACAATTATGACATCAAAAGACGGCCAGATAAGTAATGTTGTTCAAGAATCCCTAAACTAATATTTATTTATTCATTTATTTTTCAATTTACGATGCATGTGAGTGAGTTTTGAAAGTTAATTGTTTGCATTTCACAAGCAACATTGACAAATATAGAATGTTACAAAAACATGTCAGTCGATCATAGAACCAATCTCATCGATCCCAGCATCAGACATTATGCAAGTCTGACTATTAGACATCTACAGTACACTTCAGAAGAGAACTTTAGCAAGACTGAATTTGGCAAAGAGATTTCTCAGTTATTCACTCACCTGGAGAGCATAGCCAACCATCTTTGAGAAAGAAGTGATGGTGACATGTTTTCCTTCTCTTTCAATCTGTTTATAAATAATATGTTATTAGACCTGAAAGTTAAAAACGTTTCTGCAATTACTTGGTTAATTTGTTATTAATAAATCATACCTTTGCTTTTCCAATAGGTAAGCAAAAATTTGGATCAAGAACATCTGCTGCAACTGGAAAAGACTCTCCATATCTGAAAATTTTCAATTTCTTCAGTCTCATTTCAGGCAAAGGTCAAGGAGAAGTTTCTTCAAGAAATTGAGCTACATACAAAAGTTCATTTTCAAGGAAAACAACAGGATCGGGGTCTCTTATAGCAGCTTTCAGCAAGCCTCTAGCATCTTCTGATGAATAGGGAGTAAGAACTTTCAAACCAGGACATGAAGCATACCAAGCAGAATAGCACTGCAATAAATTCCAAAGAGCCAACATAAATCATTTACCATTTAATGATCAAAAGATTTTGCAACAAGCAACATTGGATGAAACCTGTAAAGTGTCTCCAAACTATTATTTGAGGGCATCCACAAGACATGTTTCATTTGTAAATGTAGCAGGTAATGAAAATTGGATATATACATGGCACAAGATGGAAGGCAGCAATTCCATAACGATTCAAACCATCCAACCCCACCCTTAATATGAGCATGGAAGTTGATTTTATCCCTTCATGGCAGGTTTTAACAGAGAAGTCATAAACATAACTCATTTGTAGCTGCTTAGGGTATGCATTTAGTTCTCAACAAATCTCAACCCTACCTGAGTATATATTAAATAAAATGATAATACTATCTATAAACTAACTCCTTGGCACCCACCTTCCCTAACCCCAGCTTGCAGCACCCCTCTTTTTGCCTCATGTCATTCTTAATTGTAGGCCACCCACATTGGTAGTATCTTGTTGTTATGACTCTCTTCCCACGCTTATCATGGTCGTCTATATGTCACCTCCATGGAGCGCCACCTGAGCATCAGCACTTCCATCCATATCTGACTTGATCTCCGCACTCAATCAACAATGCCAATGATCCAACCGACTTATAACTCTCCTTACATTCTCTGGCTTCATATGTTTGGCCCACAACTCAAATCTAACCACACTCAATGTCTCTTCCTCTCTAGTTTGGTTTCAACTAGTCCAGGCTTGACTTGGCTGATCTTGGTTGTTGATCAAGCCAAATCTAGTTCTCATCCATCAAGAGTCATGCCCCAGCGCCCAAAAAGTCTTAAGCCAAGGGCCACCAACCTTTCACACCCATTATAGTCACTAACAACACTCTATCCATTGAATCTAGAATTGTTCGTAAATTACACCCAACTATACTAAGACTATTTACAAAAAAAACAGAGAAATAAAGAAAGAATCACTACAAGAAAAACAGCCAATACCGGCGGCCTTGACCGGCGGTTATATGGCGGCCTTGACCGCCGGTAATAGTGGCGGTCGTTTAACCGCCGGCTTTATTCTCGCAGGATGATTTTGTATGAGCTCGAGAAAGCCGTCAGTCCACTGGCGAGGGATCATCTTCAGGATCAGCCCACACTTCTGAGTATCACACTTGGTCAGATGTTGTTGGTGGAAGACAGAGGGGGAGGATATATGGCTTGGGTTCGCAGGGCTATGCTTATGAGGGCAGTTCTCCACCTCAGCATTTTATGATCCAAGTGGAGCTGAAGAAACTGTGAGTTAGAGGGTTGCAACATTGACTAGAGATATTGAAGAAATGAGAAGGGTTCAAAATGAAATGCAAGCTGAGCTGCAATCCTACATAATTGAAAATCAGAGGAAGCAAGAGGAAGAGCAGCGACGAACATCTCGAGACAGCGAGGATACAACTGAGGATTAGAAATATTTTATGTTTATTGTGAACTTGTTAATTTGTGAACTTCTGAACTTGTGAACTTGTGACCCGAACATATTAACTTTGTTTACATTTAATGTTTTGTTTGGTTGTGCTTATGTTTATATTTGTGATAGTTGATTGAATATAGCGGCGTGTTGCCCAAAACTAGTTGTTATATATTGCTTTATGTGCAAGTTTAGAATCTAGGGTGAACCTCCCTCAAATAGAAGGGATGCTGACAATTTTTTTTTGCAGGTGCTACAGGTTTCCGGCGGCTAACCGGCGGTTTAGCCACCGGAAACGACGATACCTGACGATTTTTAATGGCCGCCGGTAACTTTGTCAACCCGCCGGTATAATACCGGCAGTTACCGACGGCACCCGACGGTAATCCGATGAAAGACCGGCGATCCAGACCGCCGGTACTACCGTCGGCTACAACCGCCGGTATGACACCGGCGATGTACCGACGCGTGTCGGCAGTTATCTGACACTCGCCGCCCGCCGTAACCGCTGGCAAGCCGTCGGTGAATGGACCGCCGGTGAGCCGTCGGTAAAATGACCGGCGATGCAAATGCCGGAACACAGCCGGTACAAAGAGGGGTATTAACTGGCGGTCTACGCCGTCGGAACACCGCCGGCGAATTAGGCCGCCGGTAAAAACCGCTGGCGATTTTTTTCCTACGCCATTTTTTCCGGCGGTTCAAGAACCGCCGGTGTTACTGAAAAACGCCAGCGTTACCATCTAAACAGCCGGAAAAACTGTCGGTATTGGCTGTTTTTCCTGTAGTGAATGAAGAATTCTAAAATGAGAAGCTATAAGATTTCTATAAAATAAGCTTGTATAGAAAAGTGCATAAATTAAGCTCATCCCTTGACCCCTATTTATAGATTTGGATTGAGGCTCGAGTGTAACATAATTGGATACATACATGACCATACATAAAGTAAGAGAAAGGCACAATAATTGTGTAGCCCAATTAGAATATCCGCCTTAATGAAGTCATCAGCAAAGCTCCTAAGAAGTTGTTGGCTTGGTGTGTATAGATGGTCGAATAGTTGAGTAGCATATCAACATTTTCCCTTAAGAGGTCATTCTTCCTAGAGTACTCACTAGGACTGACTACATAGACCATACTTACTAGAGTCGATTGATAGACCATATGCGCTTGATTATGATGAATTCTCTACTTTAGGTGAGTTCTTTTGTAGACTGGCAAGTCTCTTTTGAGTAGAGAGTGAATTAGCTTGGCTTGAATTGGTCAACTTAGCTTGACCAAATCTACTTGACTTGAGTCAGGTTCATTTGGCCTGAACTTGATTTTCTAGATATTTTGACGTACACTGCCATTGCATGATCAACATTTGACAACTTATGACATAACATGGCATCTACCTAACAACAGCTTTGTTGCACCGATTGTCAATTGTTTCTTCATTTATGCCTCCTTCACCACTTGCCACCTTATTCCACGGAGTCATGCCACTATTCCAAACAAACATCACATGTTCATCAATCTAGTCATCCCAAGAACTCCTATTGTGTCACACGACTATAAATAGGCAAATTTCTCATAATTCAAAACCTTTTGATAGTTTTGGATCTTTTAGGAAATCTAAAGTTCCTAAACAACTCTTCTTCTTTCTAACTCTCTATTGAAAAAGTCCCATAAGCACTAGATGCTCAGTATTGTAAAACCTTGTAAAAATGGAAATTCTCTCTCCCACTACAATGGATTTGGGTTCAATTAAGCGAGGAGTCTTTTATGTTGGTTTAATTCTAAGTATTATGCTTCTCCTCACCATAAATAGAAGTAGCTTAGCTCAATGAGTTTCATATTTAAAGTCCAACTGGTTGGCAAATCTGGCTTTCACACCTATGGCAACATTTGTGATCATTGATTTAGTTGGATAGGATGCACTCCAATAGAACTCCACAACACACATGCAATCCATTTTTCACCACTCATTTCGTACAGATTAACTCAAACAGCAAGCTAAGTACATGTGAGCGGATTCATATGCAATAATGGATCCTTTCTAGTAGGAAACATAAGCATGTACCAAATAATGGACTAGAACATGTTGAGCATGTAATGAGCAAGCAGTCTGACAAATAGCAATGATCCGTTAACCTTCCTTGGCTCCCCCCTATAATCTCCAACCTTCAATCATCATTTGCACCAGACCGATATTTAATAAAATAAAAAAGTATGATGCTTTTGAAACTCGCTTTGGCTCTAACCTCTAGTGTGATGACACCCTACCAATCCTTAGACATGAAATGATTCTTTTTAGCAGATCATATCACTTTGCACTGCCCACTTTTGTCCCTCTTCCTTGATTCCCATTCCTAAATATGATTCAAGATATGACAACTAAAGATTATTATTTAGAAAAAAGTTTTGGGCATGAGCTTGACTTTTAAAACCAGATCCTGATATTAGGAGTGTCACCAGTTTGGCTAGCCAGCCATTTATTCATTATTTTGCCATCCCTTACACGGAAATGACATGACATGGACTAAATAATAGATGGTATCAGTAAGTTGTTTTCTCTTGTAAAATGGCTGTTATGCTTAAGAAAATTAGGCAGTTTTTTTAGTTTGAGGTTAAGAAAGGCCTTCTGGCAAACAACCTATAAATAGTATTTAGAGCACAAGATTTTGAGAGAGAGCGAGATAAATGAGGCATGAGATTGCTTCCCGGGAATGGAGTGATGTAGGGGTGATTTGGTTGCATGTATTTTAACTGTAAAGCTAAGATACACAAACGGTAGTGTCTGGCACATCGGACATGACACGTGTCAGACACGCCTCTGATACATGTCGGACATACCGAAGATGTGTCGGATTAAAAAAATATTAAAATAAATTGAACATGCATGTCTAAAATATTTTATAATTTTTTAAAAATATAATTTATTATATCTCATAGCCATGAATCAAATTTTTCTTTAGTAAAAATTAAAAATTAAATTTCTTATTTCCTCTCTATATCCCTAAATCAATTGCCTGCACTCAAAATTTCATTCCCTAAACATTCTTGATTTCTCTATAGCAAGTTGCAGCTAAGATTTCATAACAACACTCAATGTCATCTTAATATCAACGTCTAATAGCATCACAACACCAAAATACATTGACGCTTGACTCCAACAATTTCTACACTCACAATCATGCCCCTGTGCCATATCAACATATAATCTTTATCCAATGTCTTCATAACATCTAAGACCGACATTATTCGAGATTGATAACCGACATAGTCTTGGCATCACTGTCCAATACCCATTACACAACAACAATGATCGACTGTCAAGATCATTTCGTCCCCTCTCGATGCTTAATATAACATCGGCATCCAACTACCGACATCCTAATATTAATTATTGTAAGCACAAATCCTATTTAAATTATTTATTATTTCTCAATTATTCTTAATATTTTTCTTATTCAACTTTATTGAATTTAGAAAATATTAGAAATGATCTTTCTTTATTAGATTTAAATGAGAATTTGACTTTTAACATACCACAATGGCGAAAAAGTATTCATGTAACCGACCCCACGTAGTGGGACAAAGGCTTGATGATGTTGTTGTTGTTGTTGTAATTTTATACACTATTTTTAAGATATAAAAGTTATACTACATGCTCAACTCATGTTCGTGTCCTATATTTTCAAAAATTGACGTGTCTTATGTCCGTGTCTTATCGCCTGTGTTTCCATGTCTGCGCTTATGCATTATAGATGTAAAGTGAAAGATTTGTATTCTAGATTTTTTGGGTGTTTGATGCAAAGCAAAATAAACAAAAAAAGAGGATATTTTGATATATTTAAAAATTCTCAAAATGCAACCTTTACTTGTAAAAGGAATACCTATAAATAAGGCTACTTTCTTTTGCTTGCAAATCAAGTTCTATGCCTAACTCAAAACATCTCACTTGCTTCAAGAAAGTTCTTTCTAGCGAGAACCATCCACAAGCTTTCTTGGTAAGAACACTTGCCGACAACTGTTTGAGTAATCCGTCCACCAACTCGCCTGCATGAAACCCCCATCAAGACCTATGTCCTTGCATCATCCTTGCTTTCTTCTATGAGAATCACTGTAAAACTCATTATCCTTCCTCACCAAAATCATCTTCAACCTTCCTTGATGGCGATGGCAACGCAAGTAAAATAATAAGCGGAAGAAATTTTGCATGTCAATGGAGGACCAATCAGCTTTATTAAAGAAAGCTTTAAGGAGCATAATGTAAGCATCTCTTTGTGTTTCATTTGCACTTGCATGTAGTGTTATTAAAAGAACATTTTAAAACTTGCTTTAGCAGCAAACCGAAATAAAGAGGTGGCCCTATGCATCACTTGCATGTAAAGTACAAGCTCCCCACATGGCATGGGCGTCGTGATGCTTTGCAGCTTAATGTTGAAGCATTGCGTATTCAACTCAGGATTAGAACAAAATCCTAATTTATATTTTATATTTCATTCCAGCATTTACCACAATAATTATGGCACTAATGTTTGCTTCTCCTTACCAGTTCCCATAGTTATAAAGTATTGCTATCTCGTTCTTTGTTCTCTCTCGCTATAGCTAGTCACTTCTTGGTGGCTTGCCCACTAGCTTCTCAATGACTCATTACCACATTCTTGATTCATGCTCTCTGTTTAAAATTGCGCAATAAGAGGCGCGCCTCTGCGCAATTCCTCCCAAAACCTCAATGAAGCCTACGCAATTCCATCTCTGCTTGAGGCGTATGCCTCACTGTGACTGAGGCGCGCCTCAGAGGCGCAATTGCGCAATTCTTAGTGAGGTGTACGCCTCATGGCAATGGCCCCACTCACTTAAAATGAAATGTTTTTCTCCTTCTACCCGAACCGCAGCAGCTCATCTGAAATCTCCCCATCCCGCAGACTCTAGTTCGCAAAATAGAGGCCACCCGCACCGTGCTGACCTCCTTCCCGCCGCTTCTCCCGCCGGCGCCACCTCTCAGAATTTGAATTTTGAAATTCAAATTTCAAATTTGAAACTTGCGGAAGGAGGGATTGGACGGGTGGGGAAGGTCGTCGGCAAGGTGGCCGGTCAGGGCCGTGGGAGTGGCCGGCGGCGGGCTTCCAAGGGGCGGCGGCAACTAGGGTTGGGAAGAGATTTTCTTGTGGTGTAGGAGAAGGACGATGGAGGTGAATACGAAGGAGAAGATAGAAAACCTAACCACGAGCCGCGGACTCTTCCAACGACTGGTGGGCCTTGCGATTTGCTCCCCTTGAGCTCTCTCCCTTCTCAAGCCCTCATGCAAGAAGAAGAAGTAGAAACACAAATTTTTTTTCATTCAAATCTTCATTAGTCTATTACAAAGCATGAGACCCCTATAAATAGGTCTCCAAACATAAGGAAATAAAAGTACTCAAATGCCCTTTGGGCTACAATAAGACAACACTCTCCATAGGGGTAAACTAGGAAATAAAAAAAATGCCAACTAAATAAAACATAAAATACATAAAAAATTAAAGGCTCTGAATCGTAGCCATCGATCGGCGCTGTCTCCGGCGATACACATGCTTGAATCTCTAATCGATGTCCACATCAATACTAGATTTCACCCTAATGAATATTTGCATGGTCATTGCACGTTGGTTGTGGAACCAATGAAACTGTGGATTTGCTAAACCACAAAAAGAAATTCACTTCTTTTATAGTTTCTTTGTCACTTGCTGATCTCATGATTATGCTTCCATTTTATTATAAAGATATAAAGAGAAGTCGCAGAGCAAGTTATTTACAAAGATGGAGTGTATTATAGGATTAATATAGAAAATATTTGAACACAAATACATAGGTTTTGTCCAATTTACACAAACCACATGTTCTTGTGATGTCCAAGGGTGCTCACAAAGTTTAAAAAAATTCTTTCCTGAAATATCCGACATGACTTAACATCCTCTAAAAGTGTGCTTTCTCAGGGTAAGGTTTAATAGCAAAAATATTTTGGGTCAAACCTACATGCATAGTGCTTGATAATGGCAAGAACAAAAACTATTTTGGCGTATAATATAATAACGACGTATTCAATACCTGTGAATGTTGGGCACCAACACCAGCAGCAGCTCCGTTTGGTCCTCTGAAGACTATAGGCACGGAGAGCTGGCCTGAAGACATATAGTTTGATTTTGCAGCAGAATTGATAATGTGATCGATTGCCTGCATAACAAAGAAAATAGAAACACAAAATGAATCTAAAATCTTACTTCTTCTATAGTTAAACATATGTAAATAATCATAATAAAACACCATGGCAAAGCAAAGAACAAATAACATACATACCATACAAATAGCTCAATGAAGGGACGATGAGACAAAATCCAAATATTCTAACATTGATGACGAAGTCAAAATGAGACTGATCTTAGGGAATTTAATTAAAAAAGGTTCAATAATACTAACCATCAAAACAAATTTTCCAAGAAACTCTTAGTCAACTTCAAAACCAAATCTCCATAACCATAGATTGTCCTAAAACTTCTATGATAATCTATGTTGCACCGATACGGATACGACACGATACGGATACGGGACACGCCAATTCTTAAAAATACAGGATACGGAAACGGCGTGGATACAACATTATAATATATAAATAATACATAAAAATTAAGAAATTAATCAGAGTGTAATATTTGAAATGACAAAAAAAATGAAATAAAAGTAAGCATTAAATATTTAAATGTCTAGTACATCAACAAATATAAGAAGATAAATTGTCCAGCACATGAAATTTCAACTATTCAATAGAAGGAATGATAAGATTAGCTTCTTCAGTGGTTTGTCTTTGAGTTTCTATATCATCTTCAATAAATATCATAGCTCCTAATTCAGGCTCATCAAGTGAAAGATTAGCAATTTCTAATATTCCCATATCCTCAAGAGATTCAAATCCATCTCCAGCAACATCCCACATCCTGTTGTCTCCTTCCATATAAATTGGAGTTTTCCTTGAGAGAAGCCGAAAGTTTGTATGCACGTAAACTAAATTTTCAACCCGTTGTGGAGTAATTTTATTTCTCTTCATTGATTGGATAAATGAGTATGTGCTCCAATTTCTTTTACAACATGATGAGGATGAAACTTGGCCAAGCAATTTTATGGCAATTGTTTGAAGTAGAGGTGCTGAAGCTACATGTATAATCCACCACATTTTCGAATCAATTCTCCACATATCACATAATGACTCTTGTTCACCAAAGTCCTCTAAATAATCAAAAAATTTAGCAAGCTCAATATTGAAACTTATTCTCTCCTCCTCATTTGGAAAATAACGCTTTAAACATATCTTCCTCATATTTGAAATTTCTAAATCTTTCTATGGAGAAACTCTTTGAGGATCCTCTTAAAGCCATTCTTTAGTTGAATATCTTCAAATAACATTAAAATGAAATAATAAAAAAAGTTGAAATTACAAAACAACAAATTGTGAATTCATATTGAAAAATATTAAAATTTACCTTGGATTTAGTGAGTGAGCCAAGCAATGTGAAGGTGTATTACTTTTGCTCCACATATCTTCTAGAATAGCATAAATAACATCCCAGAAGCTTGAGTCTTCATGAAGTGTCTTCCTCTCATGTCTATACATAATTTCGTTTACTTTGGCTAGCATTGAATCCCACATCTCATAAATGAGATGTAAACAAGACTTATCTGTATCAGCTACTCTCAACATCTCATAAATTGGGTCTGTAAAATTTATGATATATTCAATCTCATCCCACCATAAATCATCTAAAAGCTTCTCTTTTACATACCTAGCCTTTCCAACATCATCTTCCCTATAACAAAACCATTTGTCACTAATCACCATAGCTTGGAGAGCATTTTTTATTTTTTTGAATCTTCTCAGCATCACTATAACTGAGGCAAACCGAGTTTCAGCAACTACAAGCATCTTTAAATTAGAGAAATCATTGAACATAGAGAGTCTCATGGAGTGATTCATAATAAAATTTCTAATTACAATTGCATCTCCAGCAATCACTGTGATCCAATGACATTCATTATAGGTGATTTCATTTGCATTGGTATTCTTAGCTGCACAAATGTTCTTCAAAGCAAGATTAAGCGTATGCACAACACATGGTGTCCAGAAAATATGAGGATATGCTTGCTCTACAAGTAGACTTGCAGCTCCCCCGAAATAATTTTTTTTTGTAAGAGTAATTTTGAAGTGCTGTTTATTTTTAAAGTTGTTTTTATGG